GGTACACGCACCCACACAGAACTGCTGATACTGCTGCTGCTGTCTGCATCACCCTTCTTGTTGTTTGTGAGTTCAGGAGGAAGTGTTGTTGTTGTTGTTGTGGTGGTGGTGGTGGTTGTATCTGTATTACCCACATCACCTGTGTTGTTTGTTGATTCACTTCCTGCAGTTGTAGTGCCATTCTCAGCATTTAATTGTGTATCAATACCTTCTTTAGACTGTGTATGTTCAGACGCCTGTTCCTCAGCGTTGATATTCTGGCTCTGTGAATTAGCGGAGTCCACTGTATCGTGTCCATCCTTTTCACTCCCACGTTGTACTCCAAGTGTTTCTTTTTCTGACGACGTACCAAGAGGATCAGCAGGACTACTAGTAGTAATAGCAGTAGTAGAAGTAACAGTAGGACCTTGGGGTCCAGCAATTTCTTGAGTAGCGGATTGCTTTGCGATAAGGGAAAGGTTCGTAATATCTGATTGGACTTTTGCTGTTTGATGAAGTTCTTCTTCACCCTGTTGGTTCAGTGAAGAGTTTTCATCACTATCCCCGTTTTCAGTTGCATCGGGCTTACGTTCAGCAAGACCATCTTTTATTTCCTCTCCTGCAACGTGACCTTGACCGCCTCCTTGAAGTTGTTGTTGTAGTTGTGATGGCGTTCCAGGACCACCTGGTTCTCCCATTCCACTTCCTGCTCCTCCAACACCACCAGTACCATTCAGAGCACCAACAGTACCAGGTTCCTTGTTTGATTATCTTCTGGTTCCTTTGGTCGACAAGGAGGTGTAGTATCTTTACGGCACTCTCCTTCACTACCACCATCCTCGTTACTGCATTTCTCCTTCTCAGGTTCCGTACACTCAGGAAGATCTTCACTGGGTTTATTTTCACACTTGCAACCCTTCTTGCCTGGATCACAACCACCATTATCATCAGCAACAGTTAAGGGATCAGAACATGTACGTTCTGCCTGTTCTCCAGTCTCTCCAGCCACCACACACACGCAGGCAACACTCAAAAAAAGTGCCATAAAAAACAACAGTCGTCGCAGCAACATCATGGGAAAAAGTTACTTGTATAGTTCAATGTAACCAAAACTCAAAGAAAAAAAAAAGGTTAGCAGAACCTAATAAAAAATAAAATAGACACACACACAGTAGGAAAAACGCAGAAAAAGATAAAAAAACAAATCTTAGGAAAATCACAAGAAAGGGCAACGCGCAAAAAGATTAAAGAGCCCAACAAAGAACACAATGCCCAGCACGGAAAAAAGATAATCCCAATTAATCCCTCAAAACCATAAATGAAGTGAGAGAAGGACCATCAGAAGCACAAAGCATAGAAATACAAAAGATTTTCACTTTCGGTCAAACCACATACACAATTATAAATATATGTTTATTCCTTATTATTGTTTTTCCGCACAAAACAATTCAACAGCAAAGTGAATGGCAAAACACACAACACCCACAAAAAGAAAAAGAAACAAACAAAAATTGAGAGTAAGACCAACCGCACAACAATATCACAGAACCATAGATATACTGGTGTGTGTATGCAATTAAGAATACATATATATCAATTAATACTTTTTCTTTTCTCTGCACAGAACAACAAAGGGAACCACAAGCAAAAAAAAAGATATTAAACAGTAGCCCATTTTACCCAATAAACACAGAAATATACACATCAACTATGGGTATAAGTCTATATATGTGTATATATACGCAATTACAAATATAAATTCATCTGTTATTATTATTTCATTTTCCCACTGCAAAAAAGCAGTTCATCATCATCATCACAGTGCAAAACCCAGGCACACACGCACAGAGAGAGTCTCCAAGAACACACACAATACCCCATGGCTCTAGTTTATGTATATTAAATTACTGCATGCACACACACACACACAAATCTGTGTACTAGCAAGAGATGTATACCGTCAGTGAGCAGAACAGCCCAGTTTTCTGCACACACACAACGGGAAAAGCAAGTAATGGAATTATTAGAAAAACAACACACACATAAAAGTAAAAGAAAAAGAAATTCATAATAAAAAGAGAAAGCTGGTAAACAGATTATTAATTTATCCACCCATGGGGGATGTACGCAAATATGATTATATTAAGAAAACCATTATTATTATTTGTCCTCAAGTGAGTACCACCGTTCAGTACACGGTAACGGAGAACAACACAGCCACAATCAGCAGCGGTGCTGCAGTGTGCATCCACACAGGACTGACACTGCTGTCAACATTAGCCTTATTCTTCTGTACAGCGGAAGCAATAGTGTTGATCTCTGCGTTGGGTACAGGAGATGGAGTGGTGGTTGGTGCTTCTGTGACATTGTTCTCGGTGCTCGGCAGAGTAGTGGTATTTGTTTCTGGTGGATTTGGTGCGGCAGTTACATCATCAGTTGCAGTAGATTGCTGGGTAAGATTAGAGTCACGAGATGGAGTCGCGGTTGATTCTTCATTGACAGTATTTGCGGGGCTCGGCTGAGTAGTGGAATTGGTTTCTTGTGAGTCTGGTGGAGCACTTCCACTTGCACTTTCCTGTGCAGTAACCTCCGTTGCTGCAGAAAGATTAGAATCGCCAGGTACAGTTTTATCCCCTGTGTTATTTGATGAGCCTAGGCTCCCTTCTGCAGGTGGATTAGACTGCTGAGTTTCGGTGTGTTCTCCAGCACTATCACCACCTCCATTAGTAGAGGTACTCCTCTCCGCTTGAGGGGCAGAAATAACCGATGAACTGACGGCATCACCACGATGATTAACATTACTGTGTCTATTGTTGTCAGTTGTGCTGCTCGATATCTCTTGCTTTCCCTGTGATGCCACATCAGTTCCGTCATTTTTGCTTTGTGTTTGCTGAATCTCTTCTTGTGTTTTTTGTGTTCCTGCTGCACTTGTTGATGATAACGCATCCACTGCACTATGTTCAGCACCATCGCCACTACTGGAGTTACTCCTTGCCCCACTAGATCCAGCAGGCTCTTCTATTCCCACAGGATCCGTGTGCTGTGTACGAGGGGACTCGTCCGATAAAACTTCTGGAGGAGATGGAACTACTGACTGTTCTGGTTCTCTGATAATGTTCCCAACTCCACCTGTTTCAGCACGGTGTTCCGTCAATGGTTGTCCAGGTTTACCAGACTTACCTTGATCACCTCGAGGTGGTACTCTGCTTCCTTCTTCACGTTTTCGCGGCAACCCGAGAAAGAGTTCAGTAAAGATGGTTCCTGAAACATCACCATCATGATGAGAACTGTCAATCGCCATCACCGCCTTTGGCTGTCCAACAGTAGTATTAGAAATGGTTGTTGTTGCTCTTGCGGTACGCTGGCGGCAGAGGTCTGCGTACTTCCCACATGCAGACACACGGCTGCCCGCACCGCATGTAAGCCACTCGCTCTCAGCAGCGGGGCGTACACGCAGCGCACCGCCG